TGCAGCTGCCTCTTAGTTTCCCTGCAGCCTGTGACAAGCAGAGGCCAGAAGTGAGCGACACATCCGTGTCCCTGGTGTCCTGTGGTTTGTACAGTTTGCTTTGCTGAGGTGACATTTACTTCCACAGGGCCATCAACCACAGAAACCGCTGTGACTTGTGGCTGGGCCCCCCTCCCTGGTTTGTTTTTATAGACATATATATATCCCCTTCCTCCCTGTGAACCCATTCATTAAAAGTTGCAGACACGTGCTGGCCAAGATAAGAGAGAGGAGATGGGCAGGACCTCCTACACTTCCTATGGCTAGACTCAGTTCCACCCACGCTGATTCACCACCCCCCTCCCCTCTTCCATTCATGAACATAGATCATTCGAGATGAAAGGAGAAGCTTAAAGTTTCTTGCTGCTGCAACCAGCCCTGGAAGGAAAGCCTTCAAAACAACTAACGTGGGATATTTTAAACACAAAACACAAGAAAGAACTTTAGATGCTGGAAATCAGAATCATGGCAAAAAAAAAGAAATTGCTGCAGGAACTTAGCAGGTCTGGCAGCATTTGTAGAGAGAGAAAGCAGGGGTTAACATTTCGGGTCCAGTGACCCTGCTTTCAGAAGGAAATGGAGTTCTCTGGCACTTTCTGTTTTTGTTTGGGATAGTTTAAAGATCTTCTTGTTCCTGAACATTTTCACCCCCTAACCTACCCCCTCATTTGAAGGGTGGACACAGAGATTATAGGGGAATCTAAAACACATGGCCAGAAATTCAGGACAAATTATCATTTAGGATTGAGATAAATAGAAATGACTTCAATTGAAGGGTTGTGAACAGTTTGAACTCTCTTGCTGTGCCAAGGAGATTCTGAATACTTGATTGTGGACCCAAGAGTTTGGGTCTTGGGGGAATTGAGGACGGGTACGTCACATCCCAACATTGGCCAGAATTGTACGGAATAGTGGATCCGATTGAACTGGTGTGGTCTACTGCTCTTATTTCTTGTATTCTTTAAATGTCTGTTCAGCCACAAGGGGAGAGTTGTGCATTTGGTGGGGTTTGAAGATGGGGGTGCAAGTGGAGAAAAAGGAGGTGGTGGCTTGTTTCAGGTGAAGATCCAACTGAATGATCCTACCCGTTCATGAAGCAAAGGAGGTTTTAGCTGCCCTGCCCGTTCAGGCTCCGGGTTAAAATTGCAATCGAGCTCTGAACAGGAAGGGACAATAGGCAAGGGCTGTATCATAGAATCCCTACAGTGTGGGACGGAGGCTATTCGACCCATTGAGTCCACACTTCCCCCTCCAAAGAGCATCCCATCCACCCCCCTACCCTATCCCTGTAACCCTGCATTTCCTATGGCTAGCCCACCTAGCCTGCACATCCCTGGACACTATGGGCAATTTAGCATGGCCAATCCATCTAACTTGCGCATCTTAGGACTGTGGGAAGAAACTGCACAGACACATGGAGAATGTGCAAACTCCACACAGACAGATAATTGCCCAAGGCTGGAATCGAACCCAGGACCCTGGCACTGAGGCAGCAGTGCTAACCACTGAGCCAATGTGCTGCCCAGCAGGTAATAGGCTACCCCTCATAATGCATCCATGCCTCTTCCCCCACTCAGCCTGCCAGGTTCGATGTTTCACTAGCAAATGTAACATTTGCAGTAAAGGCCTGTCCCGGTTCTCCCCCTCATCTCCTACCGAATGGACAGAAGAATAACAGAGGGAGCAAAGCAAAAGTGAAGAGGAAGAAAGAGAAGCACGTGAGGGGGAGAAAGAAACAGAGGGAAGCAACAATATTGAAACGACAAGGCAGGTCAGGCAGAACTGTGGAGTAACCACTTGAGAGATGACACTGTATTTGGGCCCATTATCCAACCCACTCATCCCTTTATGAATCACTCCAACACAATGAAAAAACACCACCAGGGATTCATAGCTGACCGCAGATTGGTCCTGGCACTTTCTTAGTTCTCTGCCTGTGTGTATATAGTGTCAATTGGTGCTGATCCTGAAGGTTCTGCATTCAAATTCCAATCCAGGATGTAAGCTCACAATCTCTAGGGGACAATCTGTGCTTAAATCTATTTGCACTCATGTTAAAATGGCAAATATTTGAGAGTTACAACACGTACCTTTCAGTACAGAAATTGCACAGCTCTTCCTTGCATTGAGAAAATCAGAAAATGCTGGAAAAACTCAGCAGTTTATCTCTGTTTTCTCTGCACAGATGCTGCCTGCACAGATGCTGCCAGACCTGCTGAGTTTTTCCAGCATTTTCTGATTTTGTTTCTGATTTCCAGCAGCTGCAGTTCTTTGGTCTTTTTTCTTCCTTGCATTACCTGCTTGTCGCCCATGGATGCAGGGGAATGGGCTGGAATGGAACTTACAATGTGTCGAGTCGATTTTAACTGAATAATGGGCCAGGAGGAAGTGCTGGCCATATCTGAGATTGACTATTTCCCTTGGAACATGCAGAAGGAATTTATAGAGATTAGGAGGTCAGAAATGTGAAAAGGTCTTGCTGTTTCGTGCGAAGATCCCTGACTCTAATTTTAAAGATACTTTGGAGCAACTTCAAGGGCCCTGGTTATTTCTGTGGCTACCTCCTGACCTGTATCAGTTCCAAGTTCAAAGGTTAAGTCTCAGAGCTTCCTCTGGATTCTGTCTGCCAGCACACTTGAGCAGTACTCAAACGGACCACTAGATGGAGTACCGCACAGGTGGGATGAAAAGTCTTGCATTTATGTAGCACCTTGATAGGTCTTTACAATGTCACAGGGTGCTTCATGTCAAATGCAAGGAAAAGACAGATTAACAGCTACGTAATGATTTTCGTGATCATCAGATTATAGAATCCCAACAATGTGGAAGCAGGCCATTCAGCCCATCAAGTCCATACTGACCCTCTGAAGAGCATCCCACCCACTTGTCTTGTCCCTGTAGCCTTGAATTTCCCAAGGTTAATCCACCTAGCCTGCACATCCCTGGTCACTATGGGTAATTGAGCATGGCCAATCCAACTAGCCTGCACATCTTTGGACTGTGGGAGGATCCAGCGGAAACCCACACAGACACAGGGAGAATGTGCAAACTCCACACAGACAGTCACCCCAGCATGGAATTGAACCCAGCTCCTCGACACTGTGAGGTAGCAGTGCTAACCGCTGAGCCATAATGTCACCCAGATAGCTCAATGTGCTTTTATAATGGAGAAAATACATCAGCTAGTGTGAGCACAGCAAGATCCCACAAATAGCAACCTAATAATGATCAAATAATTGGTTTTTGTGATGTTGGTTGAGAGATAAATTATGCCCAGAATAAGCAGGGAGAATTTGTCCCACTCTTCTTCCAATGTGTGCCATGTAATTCTTTATATCCACCCAGGTGGGGAAACAGGGCCTGAGTTTAATGCTGCCTCCAGGAGACTGCGCTCCTGACTGTGCAGCACACACTCAGTGCCGCACTCCTAGCTTTGGTTTTGGTCCCCAAGTCCTGCAGTGGAACCTGAGCCCCGGAAACTGGGGACTCAAAGGTGTGCATGTTACCCTTTAATACCCTTAACTCAGACTCAGCCAGTCTGCCTGCTTCTGTGGAGAAAGAAGCAGAGTTAATGTTTCAACTGGACTCATCTTTGGAACCGAAGGCAATTCCTGTTGGAGTCAGAACGTTAACTCTGTTTCTCTCTCTGTAAGTGCTGCCAGAGCTGCTGAGTTTCTCCAGCACCTTCCGTCTTTATTTTATATTTCAGCATCCACAGCACTTTGCCTTCATTATGAGAGCGTTACCCACTTAACCATGCGTGAGTTTTGAGGTGCAATCACTGCTGTTTTGCATAAGTGAATATATAGGTTATGAGGGAAAAAGAACCATGAAAGAGAATGAGAGCTAAAGAATACAAAAAAGTGAAAGGAAATTGAGAAAGTAAGAAAAATCAAAAATTGCACTGATTAAAGCTTCTCTGGATGACCCGATGTGTCTTACAGCCCTTGATTTGGTTTGAAATGTAGCCACTTCTTTCATGCGTCCATCTTTTCTCATTGGAATAGTCTTACCTTGGGAGCTGTTACCTTCACGTGTGTGTGTGTGTAATTCAGCAAGTGTATATTAATGGCATCTGGACGGATGATCCCATCATTGTCGGTGGAGGGACGTGATGGTTGAATGGCTTGTAAAGAGAAACCTGATATTTAGGAGCTAAATATTGTTCTCCTCCCACTTTCTCTTCCTGTTCCACATAGGTTTAACTGTCAGGCTGATTGCCTGGATTCCACTGTCTTTTTAACAACTCATGGAATCCCTACAGTATGGAAGCAGGCCATTCAGCCCATCAAGACCACACTGACTTACCACAGAGCATCCCACCTCTGGAACCCTACACTTCCCATGGCCAATCCACCTAACCTACACATGTTTGGAGTGTGGGGAGAAACTGGTGCTCCAAGAGGAATGTGCAAACTCCACACAGACAGTTGCCCGAGGGTGGAATTGAACCTGGGTCCCTAGTAGTGTGAGGTAGCAGTGCTAGCCACTGTGCCACCGTGCCACCCCACTCCTCATGCTCACTCTTCACCTATAACTGAGACAGGGAGTGTTATCAGGATGGTTAACCATGAAGGCTGTTGTAACTGTGTAAGTTCATAGCAGAGAGCTTCAAACAATGGTCAGAAGCTGGAGCTGAGTATGATTTCTCCTCACCTTTGACCAGAGGGACTGCTGCCAATTGTAGTGTCTCCATAATCTGTATGGTTTAGATTGAATAATAACTTCTCGAATGGGACTGTTGAGTTCACTGTTGTATAGAGTACTGTGTTAATAAAGTAATATGTGCATGAGGTTCACACTTATACAGAAATCCAGGTGCCCTCTGAATGGGCAACTAGTACAATATTCATGTGGCATGTGTGATTCTTCCGAATACTTTGTGGCATTGGACGGGAGTATCAGCTATTGGAAAAATATCTTCAAATTGTGCCTTTCTGTTGTATTTTCCCACCCGGCAGATTGGAGAAGCTACGTCACCAGCTAATGCCAATGTACAGCTTTGATCCTGGCGAGGAACAGGATGAGCTAGAGCAGGAGCTACTTGATCACGGCCGTGACACGGCTTCCCAGGGATCTCAGAGCAAGGTATGGTGGGCAACTAAATGGGCGCTCCTGCCATATGTCAATCAGTGAGTTCAGACGCTACCTCCTGTCTGTTCTTTGTCTTCATCATTTGATGGTGACCTCTTCTGCTAGGGTTGATCAGTGTCTGGACTCAGGACACCCTGTCTCAGTGGCTCATTCCCCATGTGTGTGGGGCTTTGGCACTGTGGGATGGGAGCATTAGTTAGCCATGCAGATTGGGAATGTATTGAGCTGTTGAGGATTAGCAGTGTGGCTTGACCTTTATTAACTCATGGGATGTAGGCATCGCTAGCTAGGCTGGCATTTATTGACCAACCCTGGAGAAGGTGATGGTGAACTACATTCTTGAACCACTGCACTCCACTGGGGAGACTCTACGCCCACAGTGCTGTAAGTGAGGGAGTACCAGGATATTGACCCAGTGACACTAAAGGAATGGCGATATATTTCCAAGTCAGGATGGTGTGTGGCTTGAAGGGGAACATGCAGTTGGTGACGTTCCCAAATAGCTGCTGTCCTTATTCTTCTAGATGGTTGAGTTTAGAGGTTTGGAAGGTGCTGTTGATGGAGCCATGGTAAGTTGCTGCAGTGCATCTTGTTCATGGTACAGACTGCTGCCACTGGTGGAGGGTGGCAGATGTGGTACCAAGCAAGTGGGCATTTTTTGCCTGGAATGGTGTCAAGCTTCTTGAATGTTGTTGGAGCTGAACTCATCCAGAGTGAGTGAATATTCCACCCCACACTCTTGATTTGTGTCTTGAAGATGGTGGACAGGCAGTGGGGCAGTCAGGAGGTGAGTTACTCACAGCAGGATTCCTAGCCCCTGACCTGTTCTTCCAGCCACAGGGTTTATGCGGCTGGTCCTGTTCAGTTCACTGGTAACCAAGTTTTAATAGATGTTGATAGTTGGGGATTCAGTGATTGTAATGCCATTGAATGTCAAGGTGACATGGTTAGATTACATCCTGTTTGAGATCGTCATTGCCTGGCATTTGTGAGGTGTGAATGTTACTTGCTGCCTATCAGCCCAAGTTGGAATGTTGTCCAGACCTTACTGCATTTAGACATGGTTGGCTTCAGTATCTGAGGACTTCAAAATGGTGCTAAACAGTGTTGTAATTGTACCAGAACAGCTTGGCTGGGGAATTGGCAGGTTCTGGAGCACAAGTCTTCAGTAATATTGTCGGAATTTTGTCAGGGTCCGTAGCCTTTGCAAAATCCAACATCTCCAACCATTTCTTGCTATCACGTGGAGTGAATCGAATTGGCTGGAGACTGGTATCTGTGATACTGGGGATTATTGGAGGAGGCCAATATCGATCATGCACTTCACACTTCTGGCTGAAGATTGTTGCGAATGTTTCAGCCTAACCTTTGCACTGATGTGCTGGGCTCTTCCATCATTGAGGAAGGGGATATTTGTGGAACCTCTTCCTCTAGTGAGTTGTTCAATCATCCACCACCACTCATGACTGGGTGTGGCAGGACTGCAGAGCTCAGATCTGATCCATTGGTTCTGGGATTGCTTAGCTCTGTCTATCACTTGCAGCTTATGCTGTTTGGCATCAGGTAGTGCCGTGTTGTAGCTTCACCGGGTTGACCCTCATTTTTAGGTACGCCCAGCAGCGTTCTCTTTAACGTTTGTTCTGGCTGAGCGGTCCTCCTGAGCAGCAGCGACTGCTGGAAACGGAAGTCAGCGGCACATTCAGCGTGCCTTGTAGCAGCAGCATGGACACACAGCATAGAGGGAACTTTTATGCCTGATGCTGCCCCTAGCATGCCCTCCTGCACCCTTCATTGAACCAGGATTGATTCCTAAGCCTGATAGTAGTGGGAGTGATATGCTGGATCAGGTCTATAATGAAATCATGGGCTTGTAGATTGTGTTGGAGTATGATTCTGCAGTTGATGTTAGCCCATACCACTTCATAGATTTCCCATTTTGATTTGCTAAGTCTGTTCAAGACCTATGCCATTTAGCACAGTGATAGTGGCGCACAGTGTGATGGAGGATATCCTCAATGTGAAGGTTGGACCTGTACTCCTCAAGGACTGTGTGGTGGTCACTCCCACCAATATTGTCATGGACAGAAGCATCTGCAACAGGAAATTTGGAGTGGATGGAGCCAAGTAGGTTTTCCCTCTTGTTGGTTCGTTCATCACCCTATGCTGACTCAGTCTAGCAGCTCTGTCCATTAGGTCTTGACCAGTAGTAATGGCATTGCTGAGTCACTGTTGGAGATGTACATTCTGCACCCTTGCCACAAGTAGTGGTCTTTTCAAAGTGGCTGTCAACATGGAAGAAGCACTGATTTATCAGCTGAGAGGGAGCAGTATGTGGTAATCAGCAGGAGGTTTCCTTGCTCATATTTGACGTAATGCTGTAAAACTTCTGGTGTCCAGAGTCATTGTTAAAGACTCCCAGGGTAAATCCCTCCAGACTGTGTAGTGCTGTGTCGCCGCCTCTGCTGAGCTTGTCCACAGAATTTCTCCCAGTGGGACACGGCATACCCAGGAATGGTGATGGTCGTATTTTTTTTTATTCATTCGCGAGATGTGGGCGTTGCTGGCTGCCAGCATTTATTGCTCGTCCTTAGCTGCCCTTGAGAAAGTGGTGGTGAGCTGCCTTCTTGAACCGCTGCAGTCCATGTGCTCTGGGTTGACCCACGATGCCCTTAGGGAGGGAGATCAAGGAGTTTGACCCAGCCACAGTGAAGGAACGGTGATGTATTTCCAAGTCAGGATGGTGAGTGACTCAGAGGAGAACTTGCAGGTGGTGGTGTTCCCACGTATCTGCTGCCCTTGCCCTTCTCGATGGAAGTGGTTGTATATTTGGAAGGTGTTGGTGAATTGTTGAATTGCATCTTGTAGATAGCAAACACTGCTGGTACTGAGCGTCGGTGGTGGAGGGTTTGAATGTTTATGGGTGTGATATCAGTCAAGTGGGCTGTTTCTTTCTGGATTGTGTCAAGCTTCTTGAGTGTCGGAGCTGCACCCATCTAGGCAAGTGGGGAGTATTCCGTCACACTGCCGACTTGTGCCTTATTGATGATCGACAGGCTCTGTGGCATCAGAAGATGAGTTGCTCTCTGCAGTACTCCCAACCGCTGACCTGCTTATGTTGCCACTCTGTTTAAGTGGTGAGTCCAGTTGAGTTTCATGTCAGTGGTAACCCCCAGAATGTTGATAGTGGGGAATTCAGTGATGGCAACAACATTGAATGTCAAGACCATCTCTTAGTGGAGATGGTCATTGTCTGGCACAAATGTTTCTTGCCACTTGTCAGCCCAAGCCAGGATAGTCTCCAGATTTTGTTGCATTTGAACACGAAATGCTTCAGTATCTGAGGAGTTGCAAATGGTGCTGAATGTTGTGCAATAATCAGCAAACATCCCCACTTTTGACTTTAAGATGGAGGGAAGGTCACTGATGAAGCAGCTGAATATGGTTAGGCCTAGTGAGGATTAACAGTGAGGATGGTGGTGAGGATTAGCGATGAGGATTAACAGTGAATGTTAATATTGAGGGTGGCAGATTGGGTTGATAATCTATTCATTTAGTGTGTTACACCATAGTTAAATCCATTTTATCTTAATATGACTCCTTGAAACGACCATTTTTAATCAAGTCAAAATGGGCTTGTACTTTGTCTTGACTTAAAATAATCGATAGAGAATAGACCACCCATTGTATCCATTCTGATATCGATTAAAGTAAATGGAGATAACAGGCAGAAGGAGCTGATTGACATTATAATCCATGGGAATAGTGAGGACATCCAGTTTGGACACATAGGAAATATAGATCAGAATTTTGTCTCAATTGTGAGAAACTAGGAACTGTGGAGGAACAGGGAGATTTACAGGCTGTAGTACAGGAATGGTGGAGATGTGAAGGACTGCTTGTGTGTTCCTAATGCTAAAGTCCCCACCAATGAGTTTATATAACTGTGGTAATTCAGATCCATCTCTACCTCATTGCAGCATGAGAGATCTTGGACCACCTCCTCAGGTGACAACTCTCTCAGTGATTGGCTTTCATCACAAATTTACAGGAGACAGAACTTGAAATGCGAATGCATTGGATTATATTTAAAACAGGCACTTCATCCCTTCCTCAATAATGGACAGAGTGGAGTCTGAAGAGGAGTGTAAAAATTCATACACATCCTAGGAGTTAACCAAAGGTGTATGGAGTCTGCTGGAGTGATGACCACATCAGAAACTCCAATGAAGGGAGGGGAGGTGTGAAAACTCTGATGAGTTGCTGTCTAACTCAATTCCATGTTTCATTCCCCTAGATTCTGATGCCAAGTCAAGGATCCTTGCAGAGGCCCAGCAGACTTGTGTTCACCGATGTGGCAAATGCTATTAAAGCCTGAACATCATTGGATTCTGCTTCAAGCGCCAACAGAGAGAGTCAATCCATGCGTGGTCATGTGATCTACTTCCAGTCATTTATAGATATATCATCCTCTGGATGGCTTGCTCCCTCATTCCCCCAAATCTCGAAGATGTTGATCACTTTGGGTAACTTCCATACATGCATTTCAAGAGAAATTTCAGTCAAAGCAGGCAGTAAGAGGACAAGTGGAAAACGTTGGGTTGGTTTAAGATTTACAATGACAGGGAGTGGAGCAATGGATTATTGAATTCATTGACTGATGTGAATCCTGTTTGTTACCTCCTGCAGTACCGGGCTAAAGTTTGGGGGCGTGCGCTCGGTGAAATGGAGCTCTTAACCCACCTGCACCCTTCCCCTTCCCCGCCCACCAACCCTAAAAATTGCAAGAAAGATTTCTACTCCCATTCTGTCTGGGCGGGGCAATTCTCCTGACCACCGCCATGAGGACACCACTACTTGGAAAGAATCCCTCAGTCCAGGTCCATTTAGAAAGCAAACAGGATGTCCCGTGACATATACTTGGACCACATTGGTCACATGGTAGAGGACTAGACTGGGCCTAAGCCACTAATAACGTTTAATTATTAATATTTCACTGGGTGGTGGGGAGATGCAGGTTCTGTAACCTCCACTGAAATACCGAGGGCTACCTCCTCTCCCTTCCATTTTATTCCCCTCTTTATTCTTTCGCAGGATGTGAGTGTCACTGGCAAAGCGGGCATTTTTTGCCCTTCCTGGTTTCCCATGAACTGATTGGCTTGCTGAGCCATTTCAGAGGCCAGTTAAGAGTCAACCACATTGCTGTGCGTCTGGAGGCACATACAGGCCAGAAGATTTCAGACAGCAGATTTATTCCTCCCCACTAGCCCCCCACACCCAACACACACACACACACACACACATATTAATGAACAAGCTGGGATTTTACAAACAATCAACAAATGTCGTGGTCAATTTGACATTTATTAAATGAGTTCAAGTCCCACTTAGTGCCATTGGGAGATTTGAACCCTTGACAGTGGAGGGTTAGAGTGGATCTCTGGATCACTGGTTCTAATGACATTACCACAATGCCAGTATTTCCTCCACTCTCTTCTCTACCCTCTAATTTGCCCGTTCCTGCAGTTCCCATCTCCACCAACACCCCACCATCAGCAGCTGCTGTCAGCACCCCACTCATAGCCTGACGTTCCCACCAAGGCTCTGGACTCAAAATCATGGGATGTCTGGAGGGATGGGGAGATGGGTTTGTGGGCAGGGAAGGGTGATGCGGGTGTCCTACTGCATTCAGGTCGATGTCAAAACCAAAACTGACCTTCTTGTGTTGTCATGTCCACTTGACTCTTTGCTGCCATTTTGGATTTATTGATCAATTTCACTGCTATACATGAGGGGCAACCCCCTGCTGGGAAATTGAGAGCACAAAATGGTGGCTGTGTCACCTTGGAGTCAAAAGGTTTCAATTTGCTCTCCAGGATTTTAGCACAAGATCTAGGTCAACCGAGGGAATGCTGCACTGTCAGAGGCACCATTTTTTGGATGAGACATTAAATCCAGGACCTGTCTGCCCTCTCAGGACCTGAAAGATTCAAAGAAGAGCAGGGGGTTCTCCCTGCCATTTAGCATCACTTCGGCAGACTTTCTGGTTAATAATATATTGTGGGACTTGCTCTCTGCAAATTGGCGGCTACGTTTCCGACGTTACTGCATTTCAAAAGAACTCAATTGACTCAAAAGCACCTTGGAATGTTCTAAGGTCATGGTAGGTGAATATGGAGGTTTCTTCTGCTTTATAAGTACCTATCCTGTGCTCTGTGTTCAGTTACTGGGCTAAATATCTGGATGTCTTTCCAACATGATGGAAACTCTATTGAAATAAATGCAAAGCAATGCAAAGGTGTCTTGAGATGTTCAAACACCAACCAAGGTTCATGCTAAATAATCCGCAATTCTCTGCCCATCCAGATCACTGCATAGCCCTTGTTATTAGTGTCGCAATGCGGATGAAGTTATTCCAGTCCAAACTATTCGCAGGTTTAATTCTTTCCAGTGTGAATTATGATTATGGCCCACAGATTTGTTGTACTTGCTGTCTTTGCCACTGAGCTACCAACCTTCCTGGCCAATGCTGTCCCCCAAATACATGAGCTGCATCTGCTCCTACTGAAAGAAACTGGCTGAACGGTAAAGGTGCTATAGTCTTACCAGACCATTGGGCTGCTGTCTTGTTAGTGAGAGACAACTGGGGCTTACCATGTGTCAGACGAGGGGAGAGTTCAGAAGGAGAGTCCTTCATGGAAACCTCAAATGATTCAGTCAGATGTCACATGACACCAGGTTATAGTCGAACAGGTTTATTTGATATCACTAGCTTGTGATATCAAATAAACCTGTTGCACTATAACCTGGTGTCTTGTGACTTTTGACTTTGTTCACCCTAGTCCAACACCAGCACCTCCACATCATCAGCTGATTCAGGAATTGAACCCACACTGTTAGTGTCACTCAGCAGCCATCCAGCTAACTGAGCTAACCAGACCTTGGGAAATTGAGCGAAAGGTACAACCGTACATAAACCGTGGGAAACATTTGAAGAAAGAACACAAAGCATTCAAGAAAAATACATTCCACTGAAAACCGAAGACTCAGCAAGAAGGATCTATGTGTGGCTTACTCAGGAAGGAAAGGATAGGGTTAGATTAACAGAGACGTTTATAAGATTACAAAGAATAATAGCAAGCCTGGGGATTGGGAGTGTCTTAGCAACCAGCAAAGGGCCATTGAAAGGTTGATTAAAAAGGAAAAAGTTAGAATAGGTGAGTAAGGTGCCAGGAACATAAAAACAGCAAAACATATTATAAAAACCGAAAGAACTGTGGATGCTATTAAATCCATTATAACCTTTGTAAGTTTTTTTGATTCGATAAGCTGCCGCACAAAATGCTAATAGAACAGAACAGGGGCTTGTGGAGTTGAAAGTAATATTTTACAATGGTAGGAGGATTGGTGAGTGAACAGGAAATGGAGAGGGCATAAATGGGCCATTTTCAAGTTGCCAGGCTGTTACTAGTGGAGAGGCTCAATGGTCAGTGTTGGGGCCTCAGCTATTGATATTCTATATTGATGACTTCGACAAAGATTCAGACAGTAAAGTATCTACTTTTGCTGGTAATGCAAAGCTAAGTTGAAATTTAAATTGTAAAGGGGCTACAGAGAGGCTGTGAAGAAATATAGACAGGTTAGATGAGTGGTCAACAAGATGGAATTGAATATGGAGGAAGTGTCAAGTTATTCACTCTGGTGTTAAGGAAAGAAAAACAGGATATCTTTTAAATCTTGTAAAGCTTGTAAATTTTGATGTTCAGAGAGATTTCGGTGTTTTTGTACAAGGAATTCAGAAGATTAGCATGCAGGCTACCACAAGTAATTAGGAAGGTCATGGACACATTGTCCTTCAGTGCAAGGGAACTGGAATCCAGGAGTAAGGAAGTTTTGTTACAGGAAATTTCACAGGGAATTGTGAACTGATGCCTGGATTACTGTGTACAGTTTTGGTCCCCACATTTAAGGAAGGATATACTTATGTTAAAGGTAGTACAATGAAGGTTAACTAGACTGGTCTATGGGAAGAGAGGGTTGAACCTATGTTGAGAGACTGAGTAAATTGGGCCTGTATTCTCTGGGATTTTACAGAACAGGAAATGATCTCATTGAAACACACAGGATCTGGAAGGGTCTTGAAAGGATAGATACTGAGAAGTTGTTTCCTCTGCCTGGGGAGTCTAGAAAACAGGGCACAGTAAAAGGATAAGTGGTGATCATTTAGAACAGAGATGGGGAGAGATTACTCAAAGGGTCAAGAGGCTTTTGGATGCTCCATCGTTGAATATATTCAAGGTTGAGCTAGACAGCTATTTGGTCTATCAGGGAATTGAGGAATCTGATGGGAAAAGTGGGAAAGTAAAGATGAGGTAGGAGATCAACCATGGTTGTATTGAATAGTGGCTTCTTTGATGGGCTGCATGGTCTCCTTATACTCCTATTTCCTGTGATCTTATTCTCTTATCTTAAGGCTGGTGATCATTGCAATCATCCAATGGTAATTCACTCCTCAGCTGCCTCATTATTAAACCAGAGGCCCAATACCAGGGAAGTGTTGAGATTCATCATTCAGGCATTAGGGTTGATCCCTATTTAAAGAAAGGACACACCATATTTCTACCACCTCTCCACACACATTCTCCTTTATCAGGAGTAAGTCAGCATAAATATTAAGATGTTTGGCAAATCAATCAGTTGGATATGATGATCAGAATTTTAGTCTTAGTCAGACCAAACGCAATGGCTGTTTATGTAATGGATTTGCAGCTGTATTAAAGTACCAAGAAAAGACTTTCTGAGACTAATGTTGGTTCTTTTGCTTGGTATTTATTATCTACCCCTCATTCCCTTCTGAGTTGCCCTCTCATTTCACTCGGAGAAAGTGACACTATTGTTTGGGGTGTGCTTCGAGAGAGGTATTGATGAAACTAATTTATTAAAACAAGTGTTTGCACTGAATGTGAATGAAGTGCAAGGTCTTTCCTGAGACTGGAATGTGTAACTGCAGTTACCTGTTTACCTATGTATTCCACAGTAGGGCTATAATGCTCGTGCGCCAAACCATTACCATTAATGCGATGCTGAGGATAAGACCAGAAGATCGAGAATAAAGAGTAAGGGTTTCCAAGGTCGCTTCTACTCTCAATCCCGGAACAGTGAGAGAACTGCACTTGTTGCTTTTTACTGCAAAAACGGTATTGACTACCAGTAATTACTCATATTAAACATCTTGCAAGTGGCAGGGAGTCATTGTAAATTGTAATTAGTTATTTATTTATGGGATAAGGCCAGTCCAGCATTAATTGCCCATCCTTAATTACCCAGAAGACAGTTTAAGAGTTAACCACATCGCAGTGGGTCTGGGGTCACTTGTAGGCCAGACCAGGTAAGGGCCACAATTTCCTTCCCTGAAGGACATTAGGGAACCAGATGGGTTATTCTGACAATTGACAATGGTCATCATTAGACTGCTTTATGGCATTTGGAAATATAGATCTGGGCTCAATATAGATCGGCGCCACACTACCAGAAAGATATGGTGGCTTTGGAGAGGGTACAGAAAAGATTTACCAGGATGTTGCCTGGTATGGAGGGCATTAGCTATGAGGAGAGGTTGGAGAAACTTGGGTTGTTCTCACTGGAATGACAGAGGTTGAGAGGTGACCTGATAGAGGTCTACAAGATTATGAAGGGCATGGACAGAGTGGACAGTCAGAAACATTTTCCCAGGGTGGAAGAGTCAGTTACTGGGGGGCATAGGTTCAAGGGGCAAGGTTTAAAGGTGATGTACAAAGCATGTTTTTTTACACAGAGGGTGGTGGGTACCTGGAACTCACTGCTTGGGGGAGGTAGTGGAAGCAGATACTACAGTGACTTTTAAAGGGCGTCTTGCCGAATACATGAATAGGATGGGAATAGAGGGATACGGTCCCTGGAAGGGTAGGGGGTTTTAGTTGTGATGGGCAGCATGTCGGTGCAGGCTTGGAGGGCCAAAGGGCCTGTTCCTATGCTGTAATTTTCTTTGTTCTTTGTTCTAATACTCCCTCTGGTCCATTGCTTGGTTTGAGGCTTTGCAGGGATTTGTTTGGGTTGTCTCAGGAATTACAGGTCCAAATGGGCAGACCGTGGAGTTTTCTCCACCATCAGATACAGGCCAAAGGTAACCACGGCTCTGAGGCTCAGAGGAGCGAGGGCACTGCCTAGTCTCACACCTCACTGCCCTCCATGCTGCAAGCATGACCACACGGGTACCAGAGTGCCCGCAGCTGTTGTGCAGTGGACTGTTTTTGCACCAGTGTTTCTGAGACAGCAAAGCAGGAAGGTTGGGGACGGCTCAAGAAAGTAAATCCTTTAGTAGCCTCTCTAACAACTCTTCGGGCCTGGTGATCTTCTGGTTCCTTGTTACTAATGGAAACTGAAAGGCCATTAGGAGATGGCCATTTTGACAACTGCTGTTCTTTCTGGTCTTCAGGTGCAGTGACACAACGTCAACCTGAGGTGATGCAGAGTGGGTACAGCACAGAAAGCCATTCAGCCCATCATACCTGTGCCATCTCTTTGGAACATGTGTCGGATTAGCTCTGCAAACCTTCCTTCAAGTATAGATCCGTGCCCTTTTGAAAGTTAACATATGAATCTATTTCCAGCAACATCTTAGACAGTGCATCTCAGTGGTAGTAACTTGCTTTTTAAGAATATTTTTCCTCACACCTCTTCATAGAACGCCTACATTGCAGAAAGAGGCTGTTCAGCCCATTGAGTCTGCACTGCCTCTTCAAACAGCATCCCATCCAGACCCAGCCCCAATCCGATCCCCAAAACCCCACATTTACTATGGGAAACACAGCTAGCCTACACATCTCTGGACGACATGGGGCAATTTATCATAGCCAATCTGCCTAACCTGCACGTCTTTGGACTGTGGGACGAAACCGGCACAGACAGGGAGAGAATGTGCAAACTCCACACAGTCGCCCGAGGTTTGAACTGAGCCCAGGCCTTTGACGCTGCAAGGCAGCAGTGCTAACCACTGAGCCACTCACTTGCACCACTGGTTCTTTTTCCAATTACCTTGAATTTTGTTTCCTCCAGTTACTGACTTGATGGCTGACGGAAATGGTTTGAACTTATGCATTCTTCCATGGTTTGTAACCTGCCTATCAAGTTTCCCCATGACCTTCCCTACTCTTGGGAGAGCGCCTAGCATTTCTTGAGTCTTGCCCCATGACAGAAGTCGGTTGTCCCTCTTATGTACAACTTCTGTGAGATTTTGACATCTTTCTTAAAGTGTGGCC